ATATATGAAATCAAAACCCGTGTAATCGATTGACGGTTACACATTTACAATAATTGTTTCATGAAAGTTATTCGTAGACATATTCCGGAGGCCCAGCCCCACCCTCACACATTTCGAGGGACCTGGGTCACGCAGTAACTGCCATTCCAGGCAACTAACGGAGTAGACAAATCCGTGTCATATATCCCGCTTCTTGTAAGACTCGTTTGTGTGCACCTACAAAGGGATACTTCTTACAGCATTTTCGTTAGGGGAAAAAAATCGGATTTCGTTCCTTTGACAGATTATAATATAAATAGGATCAACTTTTAAAATCCAATCACCTATCATGAGGACTAACTCATACACCATTTTCGAGTGTTGAGATAAATAACGGGTTGGTTACCAATGTAAAAGTATATAAACTTTTAATAGTTTTATCATTTTCGCATCTCACCCATCTTTGTCAAAATGGTCAGGGTACACCAATACTTATACTGACTGTTTCTATATTATCGTTTTATAAAAATATAATTAATAATAATTTTTTGGATAAATGCATAATGATATTTTAACATTTTGCAAATATGTTCTATGTTGATTGTCAACATAAAACATTCCATTAATAAGACCCACATTTTTCGTACAGGTATATCCAATCCAAATTAATCATGGCACTCGGCAACCATTGCAATTTTTAAAAAAATAGTGGTCCAAAAATTAAATTGAAAAAAATATTGTTTTCAAACTACTGTTTTTTTAAAATTTGTCACAGTTGTGAAGTGCCAAGATAAACTGGACTGGTTAAACCTCCTAGCTCTTTACAATATACATATTATATATTAACAAAAAAAAAAAAACACAATTGTTTTCATGCCTAAAGAATAAAACACTTACAAATGTTTTTCGAACCTATGATTAAAATATGATAAAATAATAAACAATGTAATGATGTTATAATGTTATAAAAGTTGTTATTATTTAATATATTTATTTTATATAACTGTTATTATTATTTCTGTAGTTGTTAATATTACAATTGTAGTATAAAATAGAACAATTTATAAATATGATATTTATTAATAAATATATAAACACATAAGTAGTGTTAAACAAAATTATTATAAAACATATAATTTAGAAAAAAAATTAAATACCTCTTAAACAGAAAATGCATAATAAATGAATCATATGTAAGTTACCTACTTTATAGAGCTATTCTTTTGTCGTTATTGTGAATTATTCACAATATCAGTTATTTATAAAATACCTACCTATATTAGAACATTTTTATTTAAATAGACAGTATGCAAAATCATAATGTTAACAATATAAATTTGAAATTTAGGATTGATTAACTTCTGTTTTGATTACTGTATAGTTTTCTGTTTTGATTGCTTTATCATCTTCTGTTTTGATAACTTTATAGTCTTCCACTTTGATTCTTTTATTATTTTCTGTTTGTATTACTTTATAATCTTCTGTTTTGGTCACTGTAATGCCTTCTGTTTTGATAGCGTTATCATCTTCCGTTTTGGTAACTTTATAGTCTTCCACTTTGATTCTTTTATTATTTTTTGTTTTTATTACTTTATAATCTTCTGTTTTGGTTACTTCAATGCCTTCTGTTTTGGACACTGTAATGCCTTCTGTTTTGATACCATTTTCATCTTCTGTTTTTATCACTTTATTATTTTCAGTTTTAATCGTATCCATTTTAGGCATTGGTAATACTTCAGATATAAATGACAATTTCAATACGTAATCCTTCTTGTTGGTATCTAAAATAATATAAAATTATTCAAACAATTTAAATGCAAAAAAATAGGGGATGTAGGTACTAAACATATTTTTTACTAAATCAGTTTTACAAAAGTTGAATTTTGTATTGTCTACCATATCTAAAGAAAAGTACCTACTGTATAAAATATGTTTATAATGATAGTTAATATAATAATATATAATTTCATCTAGCTAAGAAAATATTTAATATCGCATGAAACTCCACCACTAATGGCAGCCGCATGTCATTAAAAAAACAAATTGAGGGGAGGAGAGCTTAAATTAATATCAGTAATTTAAATATAATACCATTTTTATCATTATATTAGATGCTATTATGAAGTACGAAACCATATTGTTGTCAAATGTATCGTTATCATTATATCTTACAAATGACAAAGATATTCTCAGATCATACAATATGGTAAGACATATAATCAAACCCCTTAAAAACCAGTCTGGAATTTTAGACAAGTTATATGTGCATCAAATTATTTTGTTTGCTAGTCTAATAAATTAGTTCAAAGTTGTGAATTAGACTACATACAACATACTTAGGAAGTTTTTAGTCGTTTTTTAAAATGAAAAAAATTGCAAACAACCAATACAGAGACCAAAATTTAGATAATTGTGTATAATATTGTAAATGGCCCAGCAATTAATAGTTTTAAACAAAGATTTTTGGAGCAAGATTAACTGGTAAAAACAATATCAAATTTAGATCCTTTTAAGATTTCAAAGATATCAACAATTATGAATTTCTTTATATTGCTAAACAATAGTCTTATTATACCCAATCTACATTAAAAAAAAATTAATGAAGACACCACGGTTGGAAAATTGATTGATGAACTTCACTTGGAAATAATTATGGATCAAGCATATCAATTACACTGATAATAACGATGCTAACAAAAAATAAGTATACATAACTATTGAATCAGATTTTGAGAAAGACAGAACCAATAAAAAAAATATGCAAAATAAGAATGCCTGTAAAAATTGCATAGTTGTCTGTTTCAATGTCTTAAATTACATATACATGATTTATTTTCATTTGTTAAACGAGCTAAATCAAGAAAAATTTGATATATTTTAGATTCTGAGCGCATGGTAGTGCGCCGGTCATGTCCCAGCAATTCTAGTCTATATTTACACAAAAGGCTTCACCCGGTATTTTAAACCCTCATACCTCTGCTTTAAATCACTTGGTTGTTATGTGCACTACTCATTTTATTCCTTAACCGTAACAACATTTGCACCAAAACATATTTTAAAACTACATATGCTAAAAGTAAATTAATGATTTTCTAAAATTGTATGTACAAGGTATCAATGTATAAAAAAATACCTAACTTTAATTTCATAATAAGATAATTGCACAATAGAATTGAAAGCTAAGCTACAAAATAATCAATAGGTCCTTGATAATTAATTAAACACCTATAATTATTTAATTTAATTTAATTGTTTTATTTATGGAAACACTTGTTTCATTTAACCAAATTTCAAACAAGAAAAATGATAAAATATATACATGTACCTTTATTCCAAAAAATAGCATAATTCAATTCCATTACAACTTCAATAGCTTCACTTACAGTGGAAAACCAAATTTCACCGCTGATCGTCAAACTTTTTTTATCTATGAACAAAAAAATTAAAAATAAGACTAAACATTGTATGATGAGCACCAGCACAGAATACCTTTCGGAGGAATCATTTTGATTTTCAAATTTTTAGTTAAAATTTTTTGTTTTAATAGTGAAATAAGTTTTTCTTCGTGAATATTGGGTGCACCATCAAAGCGGAGCACCTATAATAATAATCAAACAAATGTTTTGAATTAGCAATTAAGTGATGAACAATGGCATTTATGTACTTTGTTCAAAATAAGAAAGGCGTCGAACTTGTGAGTGGGCTACACGGCAGGTATGTAGATTGGTGACTAACAAGTGTAACCTGACTGCTACCAACAAAAACTGATAGCCACTATTGGCGTTTCTTATATTGAACAGAGCATACATTTATACAATTAATACACATTTAAATACATTTGTGTATTCATAAATTTATGTTTTAAAATTTTAATTTAGGTATAAATTAGGTAGGTGACTGAATTAGTAAGAAGGTATATTATATTTAACAATTATTATTTATTTTTTATTCTCTTATACGTACTCTGGATGGTGGAGGACTTGATGCATGTTGCACCAATTTTCGATCATAGACTATATATGATGGTGATCCATCGGGCAAAACAAATGGATTGATAGAACGTTTTTTTATCTTCTTATCTTTTAAATACCTAAAAACAATACATGAAGCCATATTGGTAATTAAAACATGTAGATCCTTAAACCACTAATGGTGTTAACATATAATTAGGGGGGTAAGTAGAGTTTTTAATAAGGGAGGAGGCTTAACATCTTTTTTTAGTCATAGGCGTTAGGTAAAATGGGATAAACTTGAGATATATATTAAGTTGTAACATCTAATGTTTATTGTTAAAATATGATTGTTCAATTGTTGTCTATACTCGGTCTCAAAAGAGAATAATCACTTTTTGTGAATCGTAAATGATGTGATTGGTGCATCGAGAATCATGTGATCACGCCAACACCAAGAAGTTGGTGAGAAATGTGTAGTGCTGATGTAAATTGGTCAGCCAACTGATTATTTTCTTTTGAGACCGAGTATAGTTATGCTTATGTAACACCAGCCAACATTCAGTCAATGCTTAATTCACAAAATACCTAACAATATACATAAATAAAAACGCCCCCCCAACACGCTCAACATTGACTACACCACTATTATAGTATAAAAACAAAATTGACGAGCACTACAAAACAGTTTAAATAAAAATAAAATATACTTTACTGGAATGATAAGTTGAATCCGTGTGAAAGATAATGATGTTGAATTTGAGCAAACGCATTAATATCATTGCACCTACTGATCTGAACTTCAGCAGAATTTAACTCGCGTGAATAATTAATCTAAAATAAATAGCAGCCAAATATAATACAAATTAAAAAAAAAAAAAAAAAAATCATACATTAGCCACTGTAGCGTACATAGACAATAGTCTGAAAAGTCGATTGCAATTGCTTTTAGCCGGGTCGAGACCACAGACGGAAAGAATAGAATATTCTTTAGAACATGGAAGTGCCAAGAGTCTGAAAAAAAAAATGTTATTGAAACACACTCATTCTAACATCATACAAATGAACACTCGAACACTGGCATGTACGGCCAATATTGATGGTGCCTTTATTCTTTAATGCTGGGTACCTGGGTCCACACATAGAAACATAGTAAACAAAAACTCATTTAGCCCACCGTAGATTATAAACTAATTCAACTGTTTTATTGTCTCCACGTGGGCCTGTCTTAAAACGGAATTAAATAACCCAATAAAGAGAGGCTTATTTTAAATATGTTCTACACAACACCATTAACGGAATCTTACAGATAAATAGATAGGTAAAATTTTTATGAGTTGAGGGAATGAAAACAATCATCGAATCACCATCTAGAATAACATTTTTCCGAACCATGATTTACAGACCATCTCGAGCAAGTCTCATATTTTTTTTTTTTGTATAGCCACATGGGTAATTTATTTGCATAATACTAGCTCCTCCACAAGTCTCACGGCAGCGTACAAAGGATAATAAATACAGTATTGACTCATCAGGCACCATCAGTGATTCATTGACACATATTTTGGTTCACATACGTTTTACGGGTTTTGCTGTTTGCGGTCATAACAACTTGTGTGGTTTTAGTATTTTCTGAAAAAAAAAAACATAAAGTAAAAATGAGTTATATATTATATATTCATACAGTATAACATAATGTTATCTGTAAAATAGTAAATAAGTATTATCACCACAATAAACTAATACGTCAAGTGATTTATTTGCTAATTGTTAAAATATCTTTATTAGTTTATAAAAAAAGTCACCTGGTGCAAGGGATTTATCAACAGGTTTAATAAAATCATAGTTTTCGACCAGTTCTGAAATATTTAATAATATTAGATTGATTTTCAAAGAAACACATTATTATTATTCTAATAGACCAAAATAGTAGAAACCTCAATAGTCTGAAAACAAAATATGTAAATACTATATATAATATATATTATATATTTATGTACCACGAATTACATAAGAAGTTCATTTAATGAATTTGTATTGGTCTGTAGGATACACACGCTTTAAATTAATTAGACTATTATCTTTTTATACCAATTGAATGATCCTCGTGGGTAAATAAAAAATATACACAGTTCATACAAAGGTAAATAAAAAAAATATTAAACATAATTTATTTTTATTTCAAACTATTGAAACTTCCCTGAATCTTAATTAAATTAAAAACTGACCCCAAGTTTTATTATGTTGTTTTGCAATGTTAATATCTTTTAATTTTTGAGGTGAATCTAAAATACAAACAAACTTAGGATAAATCTGGGTTATGAAACTTAATTAATACATTGATCCTACATTTATAAGACGGATACAACACATGTGGGTGTAACGTCCTCTTAAATTAACACAGAATATAAAATAAATATAATAAGTTGTGTTACCTCTTAAAACAACATTGACAATAGATTTAAGTGTAGGTAAACCATTAACATAATCTAGTGGCATACAAACAGAAAAGGATAAATTAATGCCTTTATAAGTGTACAAATATATAAATAATAAAATGAATATACTAAGTAAATGCTAAAAAGTAATTATTCAAAATATTTTTGTGTATCCTCATTATATAATGTAAATAGACATACCTAATAAGGGGGACTTTGAATAATCCCATGTTAGTTCATGATTTTTTAATACACTTATACTGGAAGGCTGAAATAAATATAAAATGTAAATATTCATTGCCTTGAAAATAATACTTTTCATAAATAACATATTTCTACAAATAAAAATCAAACGTGAACTACAAATACAAAATATTTTTGTCAACTCAGTAGGTAATAAACAAATGAGTAAGATTTAATTAAATGGGGACAAATATATTTTAGAATTTGTGTGTATAAGGTTAATTTAAATATATTCATAATAATTATTCTCACAATGTTTAACAATTACATAATAATACAGTAGAGCCTCGATAGTCCGGACGAATTCAGACCGAGCATCGTCCGGATTATCGATTTTCCGGATTACCGGAGGTTTTTCAAAACTACCTACTCAAATGACTAAGATTTAACTTTAATTTCACCATCTTTATATTTATTGCATTTTAAATTACAAGAATAATAATTAAATTAAATTAAAACTAAACTAATGAATTACAAAAAAAAAATGTTTATAATAATATGTATGTAGAACTGAAGTATAGTTATCGGTAATTTTTTTCTGAACAATACTTTTAATTTTCATAACCTAACCTGGAATTTTGACGTCCGGATTACCGCGTTCGCCGAATTATCAGGGCTCTACTGTAATATATTAAATAGTACATAATAGTATATTTTGATAAAATAAGTTATGAACCTTTTGTTATTATATAAGTTATCAAATCTGTAATTTGTTCCATTAACAAATAAATGATTACTTCATAAAAATACATTTTTTTATGGGCAACGATAATTATTTTATTTTAAATAATCAAATTAATTTGATAAAAATGTCAATGAATTCAAACATATCTAATATCTTTGAGAAGTAAATTTACTGTGACAAAAGCTATTAAAGTTTGGAATTTTGATTATACATTTGTTAAATTTTTTTATTTTACATGGAAAACATGTCAGGCAGTTAGTGTTAATAAGGTAATATATATTAAGGAGAAAAGCCAGAATTTTATTAGCAGTGGCTTAATCATTTGGTAATCACAAAAAGTTTATGGATCTCATAAAATGAATCTATCAAATTATAACAATAATAAATAGGTTCTATTTTCAGTTTCAATTTTAAATACATACCTTGCCATATTCGGCCCTCAATGTTATATAATCTAAAGTGATATAATTAGATTCATCAAATACTTTTTTTGCAAACTCTTCCTTGCTAAATGTACAAATAGTTGAACAATTAAGGAAACAATTTAAAATAAATACAATTATTTCAGCTTTAAATAGTTCAGTATTAAGTATAAATAATATTAATGAATTAAAAGGATATTCAACAAATGCCCAGAGTTGATTAAACTTCTTGTATACCACAATTCGTAGTATTTCTCCATGAATGCTCAAGATTGAATATAATACATGCTGAAAATGGTTGAAAGTCATTATTCTGTTTCATTTATTGAACCATACTCAACGATTGTTGGTTTATTTTAAATAAATAACATAATTAATAAATAGTATTTACTATTTTGAGTAAAATCTTAAGTATAATCAAATGTGTGTTTGAAATTGAACTTTATAATATGTAATAAATTTATTTGGGACAGCTTTTTTCAGTCGTAAATAAACTGCCATATTAAAGTAATTATTTTATTTTTGTTTCTGACAATGTCGACATACTGTACCTATACATTTTTTAAAAGGATTTTAGATATTTGAAAAATCTTTAAACTTTTTAAAATGAAAAACAAACCAAAATTGTCAAGACATTGTACTAGGACATTGGAACATTAATCTTCAAAAACTATTTTGATAATGATTGATCAATTTCTTATGAATAAATAATACTAGGTATTGTTAAATAGTGGAATAACATTCATTTATTTGCTATTTTACTTACTGTAGTGATTTTAACTGTAGAACGAATAATTTCTAAATGTAATACACGATTTGGGCGTCCAATAACACTAAAGATAACAAATTAAAAACCATACTAGTGAATAATTAATTTAATACAAAACAGACAGAAAGTGGAACACTGTAAGTAGTGTTCACAACAAATAGAGTTAAATATAAAACTATACTTCTTAAAATAAAACAAATAATTAAGAATATAATATTATAAAACTATTACTTAGTACAATTTATTTTAGGTAATTTTAAAAACTAGTGGATAAATAATTTTAGATTGTTGGAGTTAAAATCTTGATTAAATTCTTGACTAAAAAAAAAATAACAAGTTCAAACTCATAAATGTTTGATTTATTCATTGAAATTAGAAGATTTCAAGAGTTCAAGAAATTCAAAATCTTTAATCGGTAATTACTTAATACAACATTGAAAGCACCAATACCTATGCAATAATTCATAAATATTAAAAATTAATTGTACATACCTTTTGTGTTTATAATTTACTGGATAAGTAATTTTTTGGGGTTTAAAACCATCATACATGTTCTACAAATCAAACAGATATTGAAAAATGAATTATATTTACAGAATTTTTAAATGCAGTTGTAAATATTTTTTAATTATTACTCTAATACTTTTTAAAAGTATTTAAAAAATGTTTTGTATTTCTTTATTTGTATTTGTTTTGTGTTTGTTTTTTATTTCTGTATTGCTTTTGGCGGACAAACGCCGAAGTAATAAAAACGCTCGACGGATACGTTCTGTATAGCTCGTCCGTCGGAAAACTCAGCGGAATACGCGGCGTACAAAACGTGGCAGAATCCGCTGTGTATAGCCCCAGCCTAACTACACAAGTAAATTATTTGAATAACAAATCATGAACAATTTAATTATTAAATAATTGGATAGTTTATAACATTTAAGAAACATAATATGTTTAGAATAATCTTTTGTTTTCTTTTTTGATATAATAACTCTACTAGGTACCACTAAATATATTAATAATTATCAAAAATTTACACTTAGTCTTTGTTACTTACATTAGATATTTAAAATGTAAGCGCCTATATTATACTAGTGTTAGCATTGCGTAAACCTTTATCATATTAAATATTATAATTTATAGGAGCACACAACACAAAAAAAAAAGATTTTTTATTTGAAAGAATGTTCAATTCTAAGGATAATGGTATAGGTTTTACGTTTCTACTCACATTATTCAATAAGTTATGAGCAATTGAAAAAAGACGTGTGACGTCGTCACTGGGCCGGAGTCATCGTAATTGCCTATCTTGTACGTGTAAAAGTTCCTTGCTTCACACAACGATTTATCAACCTAAACATTTTCTTTTAAAAATTTAATTGACATATAAATGTGTGGTTTTATGTGTTTAAGACGATGCAAGAATCAGAATTTCTATATGACGTTGATAATAAAAAAACTCAACGTCATATAGAAATTCTGGTTTAGGTTGATAAATCGTTGTGTGAAGCAAGGAACTTTTACACGTACAAGATAGGCAATTACGATGACACCGGCCCAGTGACGTCATGCAGCAATTCTACATCTCTTAAAGTAATATTTTTTTTTACATTGTATCTTCACAAAATCATTTCATATAACCATAACTACAATAATTTAACATTTAAAAAAAATTTAAAGAATTTTTTTATTTGTGTTGTGTGCTCCTTTAAGTGTAGAAGATACTTAACAGGCACGAAGGTTGGGCCGGGCCCGTATGAAATCTCAAAACCCTCTTTAGTTTTCATTTTTATTTGTTTTTAAATATATTATTGAATTATATAATCATGGTGTGTATTGTGTGTGACATATAAATACATTAAAATTTATCTGATATTTGTTTAGAACACTACAATGAATATCAACAACATTTGAACCACCTATTTGAGATACAACGTAAGTCAATAAAAGGTAATTCGGAGAAAACAAGAAAAAACTGTTTTTACGCTACCAGCATATACCATACATGGTTATTTCTCTTTCATACTGATTATTTACAGTGGTAAAATTAAACATTTTTTTGCAAATGTTCTTACATAATCTGCCTACCATTAGATAACACATTCCACAAGTTGTAATATTTTGTGATTGACGTCTTTTCTCAAATAGGTTTTAAATAATATCAAAAAATTATAAATTGAAACATAATATAAGGTCAAATATGTATAAGTCAATGCACCCCGAGATGTAAACTTTGCCAATATTTAAAAAAATGTATTTAACCATCATTACTTGTCAAAAGGTTAACATTTGAGTGAGTCGACTTATTATAAAGTTTATAGATACAACCATTAACTAGTGTCCAATGAAGGTTTTTAAGATATTTTAATTTTGAAACTAGTCAAAAGTAAATTAAAATATTCAGAACTTGTTTCAAAATTAAAGTAGCATAAAAATAGAAAGTGGGGACCTAGATAATATTCATGATGCAATGTTTCCAAGCATTTATTAATAGGTTACTAAAAACCTTTTCTCTATTGACTAGGTACTTGAAAACAAAATTAATTTAAAAAAACAAATCCATTAAATAAAATGCCAAAGCTTTTTTTAAACTTATTATTACTTATTCATAATTAAAAAATGTTCTTCTTTACACAATTGCCACTTTTCTTTTTAATTTTGTTTATTATAAAATTGAATACATAGGTACCTAATTCATTAATGATTATTGATTTAACAATATGTATGTAACAATGTTTAATACCTGGGTTCTCTACACAAGTTATTTCAGAAGCCCAGTATTTTTTTTGAAAGAAAACCAAAAAAATTAGAATAAATATTTATGTAGGTTATATATTACCCATGTACCCTCTTCTTGGATGTAGGAGACCCACGAATTCCAGGTATTGTTCGCCATTATAAAACAAAATGATACTGCAGAAAATTCTGAAAGTTAAAATAAAATAGTATCAGTATGTAGAAGAGATGTTTTGATGTATATATTAAATTTCACATAATTTGTATTATTAAGGATAGGCAGAAATTCATCACTAATCATTACAATTTACACTATTTTAATGAAATAAAATAAAAGTTTCTACTTGGTAACAGGTTCTATAAAACTGCAGTTAATTTTTAAGTACCTATTCTATTAAATTTTCAATAACTGTAATGGATACAATAAATTATCATAAGAGAAACAAAATTTATTTTGTAATTTTTTTTATTCTAACTGTGTTTCTGCATGCTGGATATTTTGGTGGAATCAGAAATTACTTATCAACCATCATACTTATTTTAGTAATTCTATAGGTAATTGTTAAAAAAAGTGATAAATAAAAAAAAAACCGGGAGGAATACACAAAATTGAGGACTTTGAAACTTAACCCGGCAAACCAATTCTGATTGCATCATTGTTTTTAACAAGGTTCTTAATTCATTGAAATAGGTCACCGGAAAAAATCTCATTTATGCCAGGCGAGGTAAAAAAAAAATAAGTATCTACCTACCTAATTGTACCAACTAATGAAGTTTTTTGATAAATATAAAATAAACTCACCTTAAGTATGGTCGAAGTAACTAATGTAGGACTAAGAGTTTGTAAAGGATTAATACTTTCCTCTCGAATGGCAGTTGGTGTCGGAACGATTTCACATTTAAAATGCATACTACGCCACTACTACCACATGGTCAAAAAAACGTCAAGGTAAACAAGACTATAGCCTCAAATTATTAATACAATTTTTATAAATTGAAAATGATTCAAACGACTCAAACACGACAACTGTGCAATCTGTACACGGCAATACAGAAAAGGCGTCCGTCCGGATAAAAACGGATTGAAAAACTTCCGTTAAAATTTAACTATAAATTTTACATAAAGGAATCCGACTTCCTCGGAGACAATTAGTGACAACGACCACTGAACAACGAGTCGAATCACAATGTTTGGAAATAACAACTACAAAAAGCTGGTGTCGCGGTTATCTTTAGCTGATTTCGGGGTGATAGTGTAAAACCATAACGACATGCCACGATAAATTATTTACTTTTCTAAAAATAAATCGTAATTTCCGGTACGATCGTAGACATTATTATTATTATGCAAGGAAGATAGTATAGATAGTCGATACGCGTCGGTTCGATATCGAGAGTTAACAAATAACAACGGTATCATCAAAAAAATATAGGTATATAATATCTATAATAATCTGTGAAATTCATTATTTCCAGAGATTTAATAATTAATCTTTAATTAAAAAATTTAAAATAATAAAATATTTGATTTCTAGCGGTTTAAAGTATTAAATAGAAACTAGTTTTAGTGCTAAACCTTATAATATATTTCATTTTGCATAATTGGTTGTATTATCAGTTTTTACATAGGTATTCATTTTTCGTTCTTTATTTTTAAATTTTCGTATACGTACAATCGAGTACAAATCAAGCATTCAGGCACTATTAAATATTATTAATTATTTCAGATGGATGTAGGTAAAGAATTTTTGAAGTTGGTTTATGGAATTTTGCTGTTGGCCATTGTGATTCATTATTTTTATTATTCTTGTGTCCTTGTAAGATCAATTGTCAAATAAACTTTCCAATATTTAATAAATTTGAAGTTTGTTGTGTGAGATATCCTAAAGGCTAAATTCAGTGAAAGAAACATACATAGGTATATAAATATATAATTTTAGAACAACATAGTAAATAATAATATACATGGGTATATCAACATGTAGTATGATGTAATGGCTAAACGTTTCTAGTTACTAATTATTTTTTGAATTACAACCTAATAAATAAAATTTTTATTTTCTGTAACATATCCAATTTAGCTCTTAATTTGAACTTGATGTTTAGGAAAAAAATTGTGCTCTTGTATTTGTTAGCGTCTTAGGTTTCTGAATAATTTATAAGTTATGATGAACCTTGTATTAAATTTTCAAGCTTTAGCTATTAAAATAATTGAAAATGTTATGTATTTTTGACAACAAAATAATTCTGAATTTTTGTGATTTTGTAAATGTCAAAATTTAAAATTCAAACACTTAAAAAAAAATTGTCAATTTTAAACCAAAACTTAAGTGACAAAGATAAGGTTCTTTATAAGTTCTATAATCAGTAGTAGTTGAAAAATATTAAAGATATTTAGACACGATTGTTACTTTAGTAACAGTTTTATGTAATATTAATACACTAGGAGAAACATTAATAATTCATAACAATAAGTTATCATAAATTTGGGCAGTTCGTTTTGATTTTTAGATATTTCTTATAGTACTTACATAGTTACATGTACTTGCCTACTTAAAAAAAAAACATTTTATGTCAGTGATACCCTGGCTCGTATGGAGTTACATACCTACATTATAGTATAAAATAATTAAATAAAGGTACCTTGAATTCAGTGTGTTTTTAAGAAATTTTCACTGGGCAACAAAAAATATTTTCTCAAATAAATATTAAATTATAGTGGGATAGAATTATTTTATGCTCACTCTTCATCATCATCAAAAATATATATTAATGCTAGAAAGTAGAAGTAAATAGTAAAAGCCAATAAATATGAGTTTTAATTTATTTAAAATAAGAGGTATTTTAAGGAAAATATCAAATTAAATTATGTGCACAAGAAAAAAAAGAAATAATTAAAAAATCTCAAGTTTTCAAGAAACAAAATAAACTTATCATTTCTAAAAGGATCTATTTTAAAATTATTATTCCTAAAATTTGTCAAATTATGAGTTACCTTTACAACTGTATAACATGATATTTTGAATTTAAATCATTATAGTACTCAAGTGAGTGACTAATTACCTTTTACATATTATAATACTGACTTATACCTTTTTACACACGGACTTATTTAATTCCATAGGTAAATATGATAAATATTGTATTATTTGAGGTAAAATGTTAAAAAAGTTTGCCCATAATTTACCTACCTACCTGGTATTAACAAAATAAATGATATAAATTTGTAGGTATAAAATAACAAATTAATATTATTACTTTTTTAAACTCAGAGGTCGCTGTGCTGTAAAATAAGTATTTAGATATACAATTTATACATAAACAATTTATTTTTGCCTATTTCAACCCTTCAAAATCAAAATTTTGAAAAATCCTTTCTTAGTGGAACTTGAAATGATAATATTCATCCATTCTCAAAATTTCAATTCGATAACTCAAATAAGTTCGGCTCTGCATAGATTATTGCTAAAGTAACTTTCCTTTATATATAGAGATAATAATAAATGCATATTTTTAAAATTTAATATTTTCTTTCTTCATTTATTTTGTCGATAAAAATTTTCCTATTATTCAAAAAACTTGAAAATGTATTGTTAGGTTCCTCATCTGAAGTACCTCTGATGGGTGGTCTCTTCCCTCTGTCTTTCTCTGTCTGTTTTGTTCTATTATTTTTTAACACTTAAGCTTATTGTTCATTAATTGTAACAGATAGCGTAATATAAAATTTTGTTAAAAAAAAAAGGTTCCTCATAAGTTGTTGTTTTAGTGGAAATTAAAAAAAAAAGTTGAGCTTAAATTCATAATATTTTTTTAGCGTCTCAAGTTTGACTTTTCACATAATTCATCAATAATTATCAAGAATAATGATTTAAGTTATTTTGTTGAATTTATAAACATTTTATTGGTAGGTACTTGAAACTTTTGGAGTATTTTATTATATTTTATACACACAATGGCAACGGCTTGTGGCAAAAATGATTTAACCTACTGTAATACTTAATAGCAAAATAAGTTACTTTAATCACATTAATATCATCAAATATACTAAATTACTAAGTATAATATGATTATTATTACTACTGTACACGTGTCGTCTTCGCTAAGAATTGTTTTTTGTATACAATGACTTTTCATCATTGAATTCAAATTGAAAACTTTATCCATAACAGTGACCCACTTATAACCTACTGTACGTCAGATTAACATCAACTTACCTTCTTTTTTTTTTAAAGATTTTGAGTAGAATATAATAATTTAGAGTAAAATCAAATATATTACAAACATTTAAGACTAATTATACAGAAATAATTTTTTTTTTTTTTTGGGGGGGGGGGGTTGAGGGTACAATATAAGACATACCTATCTATATGTCTAAATAATATCTCAAAATAATTGAATATAGTTCATAATCCATATAAATTTAGAAAATATATTTCTTATTTTTGAAGTTGAATATAAATTATATGGTCAATTAATAATTAAATATAGAGTACCTACCGATGTGTTAAACTGTACATTTTGATTAACCTGTTAGTATCTAGTTTGTTTCAATATTTGCTTTAGATATAGCTAAGTAATAAGTACATTAATTAAATGTATCAATTATTCATTTATTAATGATCAAATTTACTTATGTCCTTAAACTGACTGACTGATCAATGTAGAGACTAAACATTACTACTGTAGCTAGATTAGAGATAAACAATGTTGATTTGTAGGTACCTCCGAGTAACTATGTAAGGGAACACTAAGAAATTATTTTCCGAAATTTGCATTTATATTGTTATTGTATTATACTATATTTAGTAATATCACAAGTCAACCTTTGCATATAATCAAAAAATAATTTGATTTATTTATTTTTTTCTTCGATTTATTTTATTACACAATATAAACGTTATGGTACGCTTAAACAAATAATTCTAAAGGTGTTAACTTCCCATAATCAGGATTACTATTTATGAATGTTGCCAAATGATTGTATCTTTTAATACGTGATTCTTTGAATCTTTTTAATTTCAACGTCAATATATTTAATTCGGTTTTTAGTTGCGAACATCTTATTAAATTTCTATCTCTGAGTTCACTATCATTAGATTGTAAAGACTTCGTCAAAGACTGCAACTCCATTTTTTTCTACAAGATAATTAAAAGTAATAATAAAGTAATATTTTAAAGGTGTTTTTAATTGATACCGTTTCAAACAATTGTTTAAATCGTATAAACTGATTTTTGGTATTTTTCCTGAAGTATTGTATTATTTTGTTTCTTATATTTGAAGCATTCGATTCTTTTGTAGCAAACCTATGTTCTTTATCTTTCTAAAAAAAAATTGTTCGTACATTTAATGCATATAATTATATACTTAAAACTACTTTATCTTGGAGTAACTTTCTGATCCAATGATTCCGGTTCCAATCCAATGAATTGACTTTTAACTTAAACTCTGATCGTTCTCGACTACGGGTTTCCAGCATTTGTATAACATTGTTCTCTAAATTTAACACGTTAATAAGTGCTTTTTTTTCGGTTTCGATAACTTCTTGTAACATTATATAGGCTTCATGGATTTTCAAATGCTCCATATACGGATAAACAATATCTTCAATGACTGATTTTTGATTGAACTTTTCATTTCTTATTGAACTATAAGTAGGCTTTTTAAACAGTCTACTTGATTGCGTGATCTGACCTTCACCATATTGATATTGAATATAAATGTTATTACTTTCAAGATTAAAAGTTATTGTGGCAATATCTAGATCTTTAAGTTTTGATTCATTTCTTAAATATTTTTCAACTACACACTGCAACACATGTCAACAACATACTAAAGAATACTAAAAGGTAATAATACTTTAGGTAAGCTACATATTAGATAGGTTTGGTTTTAGTATTATTTATAATTTAATTTAACATTCATTTTAATCTATCTTTTAATGAGTTGCTTTAAAGTTTTTGGGTGCCAATTCACACTACTAGAATGTTTAAGCACTTTTTATGCAACAATTATTATTATAATATATTAACATAAATAATTAAAACCGTTTACAGTTACAAATTCGTAACAACCAATAAGTACAAGAATTAAATTGATGTTATTTTTAATACTATAATAATTTTTTTCCTTATCAGGTATTCCGTTTTTAGAAATTTGTAGCCCTTTACTAATCATAATGTCTCTAGAAATATAATAAATTCTATTCTATTCTATTATGAGATACCCATGTCTATGTGTAATAATA